ATTATTGCACTCCTCATACGGCCACTAATTCCTTCCTGCAGCCACGCTGGATAGTGTTCTTTTACACTTTTTGACAGGATACGCGTTGAACGACCAATGTACCTGGCTCCACAGCAACAGGTGAACTGATATATACATACAGAAGTGGTCAGGTGGAGGATCTCGTCCTTTGGGCTTCTGCAGAACAGTAGGCGACTGAAGAACACTACTCTCAATACTGCCACAAAGAATGTTCTTCTTAAAGAAGTGGATATTCTCCTCCGAAGGACATCACTGAGTAGGTCACCTTTGAAGTCGAGGTTCATATAAAGTATCATTTTTGGCACGGATGGCATCTCTTGATTTTGGATTTTCCGTTTGATGATTTGGTCTATGATTCTCGATGGATAACCGTTTTGTAGGAAGATTTCTTTCAGGAAGTGTAGTTCTTCTTCCAGGGTATCAGAGCTGCAGATGCGTCGGACGCGAGTGGCAAGAGATCTAATTAGGTTTCTTTTTCGACTGATCGGTTCCCAGCTGTAGAAGCTTGTCGCTTGGCCGTTCCATCTGGGTTTCCTATGGATGGACCTTCTTAAAGTTCCGTCAGCTCTCCTTGTAAGTTCAACATCAAGAAAAAGAATTTTTGGTTAGTTTTCAATTACGACAGTGCACTTTGTAGCTGAATGGCATTTGTTGAATATTTGTAGTAGCTGACTAAGATCGTGACCATCATCACAGATAATAAAGATGTAGTTCACATATCTAGCATACAGTTGTAAATTGTCAATACTTTATTTGAATGGGCCATTCTCGAGGTTTGCCATGAAGCAGTCTGCTACTAATGGGCCCACTGGAGATCTCATTGTGATCCCATCTTGTTGTCTGTAAATAACATCGTTGAATGTGAATTGTACACTAGGTGTACATTTCAGTAGTGGTTCTTTTAAACAAGCTGTCGGTAATGCGATGTTCAGCTGGTTTTCGTGTATATATTGACAAATGTTACAGACAGTTTCTGTGAGTGAAACGTTGGTAAACAGTGGCTCAACGTCGAGAGAGAGAGAGAAAGCATATTTTTGTTGATATCTTGTATATAATCGACGAATTGGAAGGTGTCACGAAGCGAATAGTGGCACATATGTTTTTGTTCAGGTTCTAAAATTCCAGCTAACCATTTCACTGTTGAATGGTACGGGGAACCTAACATATCCAAAACTGGACACAGTGGGAGGTTGGCTATATGTATCTTTGGAAAGCCGTATAGTCATGGTATTATTGGTCCTGTCGGTTGAATCTGATCATAAACTTCATGACTGATTAACTTTTCGGTTTGCATTCTTTCAAGGACATCGGTGAGCTGTTTCTCAATCTGTTCTGTCTTATTTCTTTCATTGGATGCTTGCAAGAATTTCGTTTCATCTGCGAATATGTTATTCATTTTCTCTACTATGTAGTCTTTTCTGTCCATAAGGACAATGCTACCTCCTTTATCTGGACGGTTTATTAAAAATCTTGGTTTTTTCTCAGTTGACTTAATTCTTCTCTATGTTGCCTAGCTAGGTGGTTAAAGACTTTTGGTTTTGTATTCAGCTATTGATAACAACAGTCGATTATTGTTGATTTGAATCACTGTATTTCTTGTTCGGAGGTTGGAGTTAAATCAGTTGTTTGGGTAATTAAGGTTTAGAATTCTATTAGAGTATGGAGTCTGTTGCCAGTGAGGTTGACGTGGAAAGATTTTTGACCGATGCATAGGGCTTATAACTGCAGGATATAGAAAATTACTGCAGAGTAGATAAATACGAATCTTTTAGAGTCATCAAAGAAGCTTTTGTGTGCTATGATAGATTTGAGAAATTTGTGATGCAGGGTGTAGTGAATCATAACTGTTTTGTTACCGGAATTCGCCGAAAATTCAATAGTAGTTTGACTATTGATGTTCTGCCTATTATTCTTAGAATGAGAAATTCTCATGAATGGATAATTAGCAGATTTTGTTGTTATCACTACTGACTGGTTTAGCGTGTCCTTCTCAAACTCAGACGTCACCTCATGCTGTCGAGAATCAATATTATAAAACGCCTGCATGCCATTTCGGGTAAGGGAGAGAGGCTTATTAAGCAGAAGAAAAGGATTTTAAGAAGTCATTTTTTTCAGATCAATCGAGAGACGGTTTTGCACTTCAATTATTTAATAATGTTCGTAATTTATCCTATGTTTCTCTGCCAAAACTACAAGCAGAAATCCTATTCGCGGGTTTCACATGCTGTGTTCTCATGGAGAAATTTAAGCAACTTGATATCGAATGCCAATTCGAAAATGTTTATGACCGATTTGTGGGGATATATATGCTGAGTCACGTGGCAGCAAAAGCTGTTTGAAATCAAAGATGGTTGACATTGCTCATCAATTTCGAATCATGCCGATCAATCAAACGTCACATATTACCAAAGAACCTAGGAGATCTTCACATAAGCTCCAAAGAGACAACAATGTTGTTATTTTCCAATTTGATAAAGCAGAGAGAGCGAGTGTGATACTGATGGACAAGATGGATCCCATAGGAGAAATGCATCAAATTCTCTTTGATGAACCTAAATTCAAAGTGGATATTCATGCTAAAGATCGAACTTTGCCAACCGATAGAAAAGTTGCGCAGCATTTACGGCAACTTTTCGAAAAGAAATACACTGATGAGAATGCATATAGGAATATCCAACCGACTGGATCGCAGTTACCCACGTTTTGCGACCGTGTCGAAAGAAGAAGAAAACCAGAAGTGCTCTTGAGACCTACTATCTCAATGATAAATTCACCATAGCACGAATTAGCACAGTTACTATGTGAATTATTGCAGCCTTTGTGAAAACGTCTTGTAACATATAATTTCTGACTAATTCCAGTTCATCAGGCAAATAAGCGATGTCGATAAATCTGATAAGCGTCTTTTTTGTCTCTCGATGTTAGATCCCTCTTCACAAGTATGTCAGTCGTTGTGAATGTTAACTTTCTATGTAAAGAAGCTGAAGGCATACCTATTCCAACATTAGAATTGAGGAAAGTGTCGCTTTATGTACTGAAAATGTCTAATTGCAGTTCAATTGGCTTCTATTCCATCAAGTTGGTGGTGTTGCCATGGGAAGCCTCCTGGGACCACTTTTCACAAATTTATTCTTATCACTTCTAGAAGCCGGTATTCAGAAACATTATATACAACAAATTGAAGTATACCTAAGATATGCTGATGATATTTTTATTGTCTGTGAAACCAGATCGAAAGCTCAAGACCCATTGATTAATTCAACTCATGCCATCCGAATCTCAACTTCACAACAGAACACGGGGAAAATGGTACTTTTAAATTCCTAAATGTTTCTGTAGTAAAAACGACTGATGGAACAATCGAAAAATCCTTATTAAGAAAGTATTCATGGACAGGACAGTACACACATTTCACAAGTTTTGTTCCAACCCAGTATAAAATGATCTTAGTCAGAGCACTCTTCAATAGAGCATGAAAATTTTATTCTGATAGTCCAGTAGAGCCTAAAATAAGGGCTCTGTAGAATATTTTATCTAAGGTTGGATACCCTAAGAAGTTTATAAATAATGAAACTATCCTATACGAAACCTTCCAAACAGTTCCGAATAAGTCTGTCTATATCTATTCGCCATTCAAAGGAGATGATGTACAAGACGTAGTCAAACGAAGACTCGACGAAGCTCTAAAGAGGTCTTATTAAGCTACAAATCTCGCCTTCCTCAACATAATCAGGTGTGAGCGCTTCAACAGTCTAGGAAAGATCACTCACCAATCTGCGACATTTCGAACTGCGTATGTCAATTTGAGTGCGTTTCCAAAGGCAAATACATAGGTCGTACTGAAAGGCGATTTTCTGCTAGCATGATGGCGCATTGGTCAAAGTGTTTGGGAACAGATGAAGTCAAAACGCCAGCATGTTCAGTAAAAACGCACCTTGAGGTCTACGAACATTATATCGACGCTGTCAATTCATTCACCTTGTTCAGCAGGCAAAGAAACAGGAAGATGTTTGCAAATCCAGAAGCTTGTGAAATTCGAGTTTTTAAACCAGGTCACTATGTACAATAGGAAACGAAAGTCACTCTGATTCTTCAATATTAATGCGCTTCGCTTATTATTGATAATAATTTTATTACCACTTTGTTCTAACTTTTATCATTATTCATGATTTATTTTGAAACTATCTTTTATCAGTATTATCATTGTAACTCGTTTCAACACTATTAATTTCATTATTCCTATTATAATGAATATTTAGAAAACAGAAAGATTGAGCGAAGAAATATTTACTTTTCAATTAGATCCTCATCTCTGGCTCTACTCTAATATAGATAGCATTTTAATTACAATACACAACAATTTACCAATCAAGTGGCGATATGTTTGTTAACAATAATTAGTCAGTGTCAAAATGTGCACACGCTTATTCGTTAATTGCTCTTCATTTTCCAAAATTATTCATTATGCAATCCACGTGTTGTAACCATTTCCACCTTTTAATTATATATATTAATTTTTCTTCGTTAATTATCGCCCCATTGACATTTTGACACTGACTAATTATTGTTAACAAACATATCGCCACTTGATTGGTAAATTGTTGTGTATTGTAATTAAAGTGCTATATATATTAGAGTAGAGCCAGAGATGAGGATCTAATTGAAAAGTAAATATTTCTTCGCTCAATCTTTCTCTTTTCTAAATGTCTAAATGGGGATATTTTCTATAATGAATATTTCTCAGTTCGCAAATCTTGATATATCAAAGTTCTTTCTCTGATGATAACTTGTTTATCTAAGTCACGTAAATATAAACCGTAATATACTTTATCTTAATTTTAGATTTTTGTCGAGAAATAAATGTTCCCAGTAGAATTTTGGATTTACTTTATTGGCAATGGATGCAGAGATAATCATAAACCAACACTAGTCTGAGAACCATAAAACCAAACAGTTTTTAAAAAACAAAACAAGCAGTTAATTATAAAATATATTTCAAACATTGTTGATAAAAGAAACTACAACTACATGGTTTAAGTGAAATTGGAAACGTTTATATTAATTTGTGGTGTATTAGAACTTAACAGAATATTTCGCGTTCAACATCATGCAAAGGAATGAGTACTCAGTAGTCACAACGCGAAGCCACATTTATTATTCATCTACAAATAGAAAAGATAAACATGGTGATTAGGGAATATATATATATATATATATATATATATATATATATGACATATATCGAAGTAGATACACAAGCTAGAATGAAGACTAAACACACGAGTTTAGTGGAATTAATACCGATGCAATAGAATTGCAATAATCAGGTTGACCACTAACGAATCAATGGTGTAGGAAGGTATAAATTAAGAGAAGAAACAAGAAAATTCCTGTCAGATTGAAAATAAAAGAAGCATAAAAAAGCAAAACTAAATCGAAAAAATTTAACGCATAATAAGGCATTGGATTGAAAAACCAATGAAGGTAACCCTCCTTAATATGTTCAAAAAGAATTCTTAATCCAATAAAAAATGATAAATACAATTTTTAAGATAAAAATAAAACAACATATAAAAAGGACAATCCAACTGAAAAAATCAAAAAAACAGCCAGAAAAGAGAAAGACTGCTAGAACATAACGAGAAAAAAATCACACAGGGGAAAAAAGAAACAAAAATAGTAAGTTCAAAGAATCACTGCAAGGAAACAACAATTCAGCGATTGTCACTTCTTCACAATGCTAGTCGGTGTCACTGAACAACGCTTTCATAAATTGTCGTACCCATACACACCACTTCTCTACACGGATTGGACTCCATTTACGAATGTTGAATTCAGTCAGTCTGTTGAGAAACCAGCGCCATCCTCAAAGTCTTTGTGATGATTGCATCTATTTGTGATTGTCGTGATTGTCCACTAATAAAATGGACGAGAGAGTGAATACGAAAGAAGACAGAGAGTTTTATTCTCGACTGCAGGAGGTGACGTCTGAGTTTGAGAAGGACACGCCAATCCAGTCAGTAGTGATTACAACCATATGTGACAGTATGCTGACTGAGCAGTGCAACACTGGTTTCCGCTCACACTATGTGGTTGGTGAATTCCGATTCTTAACTCCACAATATTGACTTCAACAAATAACCTGAATTACAAGCTATTGAGAGATCAGGTGTTCCTTTATGGGCAGAGTGAGTTACACTATCCCGAACTGATTAGGAAGACACAGTGTGAGTTTACACAACACGTCCCCAATGTTATTTCACTCCTCATCTGTGTCCTCGTATTAAACGTATTCAAATTTCCAGACTCTGATGCCTATTTCTGTTGCATCTGCTTGGGTAGTTTTATTTATTATTTCCATTTATTTATGTCAGCATTCATCAACTTGTCTATGTCACGTGGGTTGAAATATCTAGTGAGTGTATCTTGACTCTGCGTAATATTATAAAACATATTTAGTCATCACATGTTGATAGAACAGACTTTGATACTATATTCATTGAGATGAAAGCATAAACTGACTTATTTTCAATATGATAAAACTATTTCTGTACATGTTAAATATTGCACAAAAGTTCATCCTGGATATTTTCATTTCATCAGCTGTATATTTGCATTTGCATGGGGATAATTGTTCACCCATAATTTCAACATCAGTTTATCCGTCGTTACCCACAATAACTTTGTCAAAATAAAACATTCGGATCCATGATCACACAGGATGTGGAAGGCACTAGAACGTCAGCTTTTCGTGATGCAACTCGTTATAATATATTGTAAGTAAGATATTGGAAGCTTAATTAAGCCATAAAAAATTAAGCTCTAAAATTTACCGTGAAATGCATCATCGTCTAAAGAGTTGAAAACCATAAAAAATTGTAAGCGAATTAAATTCAGTGAGAAGAACTCGTGAGAAGATAAGATAATTTGCAAGTTCAAAAAGAAATAGTCAGCTCACAGGATTTCTCGAAGGACACAACCAATCAGCGACTGTCACTTCTTCACAATGCTAGTCGGTGTCACTGAACAACGCTTTCATAAATTGTCGTACCCATACACACCACTTCTCTACACGGATTGGACTCCATTTACGAATGTTGAATTCAGTCAGTCTGTTGAGAAACCAGCGCCATCCTCAAAGTCTTTGTGATGATTGCATCTATTTGTGATTGTCGTGATTGTCCACTAATAAAATGGACGAGAGAGTGAATACGAAAGAAGACAGAGAGTTTTATTCTCGACTGCAGGAGGTGACGTCTGAGTTTGAGAAGGACACGCCAATCCAGTCAGTAGTGATTACAACCATATGTGACAGTATGCTGACTGAGCAGTGCAACACTGGTTTCCGCTCACACTATGTGGTTGGTGAATTCCGATTCTTAACTCCACAATATTGACTTCAACAAATAACCTGAATTACAAGCTATTGAGAGATCAGGTGTTCCTTTATGGGCAGAGTGAGTTACACTATCCCGAACTGATTAGGAAGACACAGTGTGAGTTTACACAACACGTCCCCAATGTTATTTCACTCCTCATCTGTGTCCTCGTATTAAACGTATTCAAATTTCCAGACTCTGATGCCTATTTCTGTTGCATCTGCTTGGGTAGTTTTATTTATTATTTCCATTTATTTATGTCAGCATTCATCAACTTGTCTATGTCACGTGGGTTGAAATATCTAGTGAGTGTATCTTGACTCTGCGTAATATTATAAAACATATTTAGTCATCACATGTTGATAGAACAGACTTTGATACTATATTCATTGAGATGAAAGCATAAACTGACTTATTTTCAATATGATAAAACTATTTCTGTACATGTTAAATATTGCACAAAAGTTCATCCTGGATATTTTCATTTCATCAGCTGTATATTTGCATTTGCATGGGGATAATTGTTCACCCATAATTTCAACATCAGTTTATCCGTCGTTACCCACAATAACTTTGTCAAAATAAAACATTCGGATCCATGATCACACAGGATGTGGAAGGCACTAGAACGTCAGCTTTTCGTGATGCAACTCGTTATAATATATTGTAAGTAAGATATTGGAAGCTTAATTAAGCCATAAAAAATTAAGCTCTAAAATTTACCGTGAAACGCATCATCGTCTAAAGAGTTGAAAACCATAAAAAATTGTAAGCGAATTAAATTCAGTGAGAAGAACTCGTGAGAAGATAAGATAATTTGCAAGTTCAAAAAGAAAAAGTCAGCTCACAGGATTTCTCGAAGGACACAACCAATCAGCGATTGTCACTTCTTCACAATGCTAGTCGGTGTCACTGAACAACGCTTTCATAAATTGTCGTACCCATACACACCACTTCTCTACACGGATTGGACTCCATTTACGAATGTTGAATTCAGTCAGTCTGTTGAGAAACCAGCGCCATCCTCAAAGTCTTTGTGATGATTGCATCTATTTGTGATTGTCGTGATTGTCCACTAATAAAATGGACGAGAGAGTGAATACGAAAGAAGACAGAGAGTTTTATTCTCGACTGCAGGAGGTGACGTCTGAGTTTGAGAAGGACACGCCAATCCAGTCAGTAGTGATTACAACCATATGTGACAGTATGCTGACTGAGCAGTGCAACACTGGTTTCCGCTCACACTATGTGGTTGGTGAATTCCGATTCTTAACTCCACAATATTGACTTCAACAAATAACCTGAATTACAAGCTATTGAGAGATCAGGTGTTCCTTTATGGGCAGAGTGAGTTACACTATCCCGAACTGATTAGGAAGACACAGTGTGAGTTTACACAACACGTCCCCAATGTTATTTCACTCCTCATCTGTGTCCTCATATTAAACGTATTTAAAATTAATCAATGTACATGCACATGTTATATAACGCATGAAGTTAACACTGGTTGTTTTCGTCTTATTCGCTGTACTTTTGTAATTGCATAGTGGTACTTTTGTACTTTTATTTTCACCAACGTTTTATCCCTGCGTACCGAGAATTACTTTGTTGATTGAGAAACATTCCGAACAATATTCACACATTGTTTGGCCTGCAGTACTCTCTCACTTCGGACATATCTTTTTCGGAAAACCATGATTTGGTTTTCACATTTTGAGAATAATCATGGATAATCGATCAAAATTATTCTCACCGTATCTATCATCTACAATATGTTAGATATCAGAAATGATACTCAAATTAATTTTGTCATACCTAAAATTATTTTATGTGTGAATTTATACACTAGTGTTTGAATAACTATACGGTTCAAAACATATATTGGGGGACACAACAAATCAGCGATTGTCACTTCTTCACAATGCTAGTCGGTGTCACTGAACAACGCTTTCATAAATTGTCGTACCCATACACACCACTTCTCTACACGGATTGGACTCCATTTACGAATGTTGAATTCAGTCAGTCTGTTGAGAAACCAGCGCCATCCTCAAAGTCTTTGTGATGATTGCATCTATTTGTGATTGTCGTGATTGTCCACTAATAAAATGGACGAGAGAGTGAATACGAAAGAAGACAGAGAGTTTTATTCTCGACTGCAGGAGGTGACGTCTGAGTTTGAGAAGGACACGCCAATCCAGTCAGTAGTGATTACAACCATATGTGACAGTATGCTGACTGAGCAGTGCAACACTGGTTTCCGCTCACACTATGTGGTTGGTGAATTCCGATTCTTAACTCCACAATATTGACTTCAACAAATAACCTGAATTACAAGCTATTGAGAGATCAGGTGTTCCTTTATGGGCAGAGTGAGTTACACTATCCCGAACTGATTAGGAAGACACAGTGTGAGTTTACACAACACGTCCCCAATGTTATTTCACTCCTCATCTGTGTCCTCATATTAAACGTATTTAAAATTAATCAATGTACATGCAAATGTTATATAACGCATGAAGTTAACACTGGTTGTTTTCGTCTTATTCGCTGTACTTTTGTAATTGCATAGTGGTACTTTTGTACTTTTATTTTCACCAACGTTTTATCCCTGCGTACCGAGAATTACTTTGTTGATTGAGAAACATTCCGAACAATATTCACACATTGTTTGGCCTGCAGTACTCTCTCACTTCGGACATATCTTTTTCGGAAAACCATGATTTGGTTTTCACATTTTGAGAATAATCATGGATAATCGATCAAAATTATTCTCACCGTATCTATCATCTACAATATGTTAGATATCAGAAATGATACTCAAATTAATTTTGTCATACCTAAAATTATTTTATGTGTGAATTTATACACTAGTGTTTGAATAACTATACGGTTCAAAACATATATTGGGGGACACAACAAATCAGCGATTGTCACTTCTTCACAATGCTAGTCGGTGTCACTGAACAACGCTTTCATAAATTGTCGTACCCATACACACCACTTCTCTACACGGATTGGACTCCATTTACGAATGTTGAATTCAGTCAGTCTGTTGAGAAACCAGCGCCATCCTCAAAGTCTTTGTGATGATTGCATCTATTTGTGATTGTCGTGATTGTCCACTAATAAAATGGACGAGAGAGTGAATACGAAAGAAGACAGAGAGTTTTATTCTCGACTGCAGGAGGTGACGTCTGAGTTTGAGAAGGACACGCCAATCCAGTCAGTAGTGATTACAACCATATGTGACAGTATGCTGACTGAGCAGTGCAACACTGGTTTCCGCTCACACTATGTGGTTGGTGAATTCCGATTCTTAACTCCACAATATTGACTTCAACAAATAACCTGCATTACAAGCTATTGAGAGATCAGGTGTTCCTTTATGGGCAGAGTGAGTTACACTATCCCGAACTGATTAGGAAGACACAGTGTGAGTTTACACAACACGTCCCCAATGTTATTTCACTCCTCATCTGTGTCCTCATATTAAACGTATTTAAAATTAATCAATGTACATGCACATGTTATATAACGCATGAAGTTAACACTGGTTGTTTTCGTCTTATTCGCTGTACTTTTGTAATTGCATAGTGGTACTTTTGTACTTTTATTTTCACCAACGTTTTATCCCTGCGTACCGAGAATTACTTTGTTGATTGAGAAACATTCCGAACAATATTCACACATTGTTTGGCCTGCAGTACTCTCTCACTTCGGACATATCTTTTTCGGAAAACCATGATTTGGTTTTCACATTTTGAGAATAATCATGGATAATCGATCAAAATTATTCTCACCGTATCTATCATCTACAATATGTTAGATATCAGAAATGATACTCAAATTAATTTTGTCATACCTAAAATTATTTTATGTGTGAATTTATACACTAGTGTTTGAATAACTATACGGTTCAAAACATATATTGGGGGACACAACAAATCAGCGATTGTCACTTCTTCACAATGCTAGTCGGTGTCACTGAACAACGCTTTCATAAATTGTCGTACCCATACACACCACTTCTCTACACGGATTGGACTCCATTTACGAATGTTGAATTCAGTCAGTCTGTTGAGAAACCAGCGCCATCCTCAAAGTCTTTGTGATGATTGCATCTATTTGTGATTGTCGTGATTGTCCACTAATAAAATGGACGAGAGAGTGAATACGAAAGAAGACAGAGAGTTTTATTCTCGACTGCAGGAGGTGACGTCTGAGTTTGAGAAGGACACGCCAATCCAGTCAGTAGTGATTACAACCATATGTGACAGTATGCTGACTGAGCAGTGCAACACTGGTTTCCGCTCACACTATGTGGTTGGTGAATTCCGATTCTTAACTCCACAATATTGACTTCAACAAATAACCTGCATTACAAGCTATTGAGAGATCAGGTGTTCCTTTATGGGCAGAGTGAGTTACACTATCCCGAACTGATTAGGAAGACACAGTGTGAGTTTACACAACACGTCCCCAATGTTATTTCACTCCTCATCTGTGTCCTCATATTAAACGTATTTAAAATTAATCAATGTACATGCAAATGTTATATAACGCATGAAGTTAACACTGGTTGTTTTCGTCTTATTCGCTGTACTTTTGTAATTGCATAGTGGTACTTTTGTACTTTTATTTTCACCAACGTTTTATCCCTGCGTACCGAGAATTACTTTGTTGATTGAGAAACATTCCGAACAATATTCACACATTGTTTGGCCTGCAGTACTCTCTCACTTCGGACATATCTTTTTCGGAAAACCATGATTTGGTTTTCACATTTTGAGAATAATCATGGATAATCGATCAAAATTATTCTCACCGTATCTATCATCTACAATATGTTAGATATCAGAAATGATACTCAAATTAATTTTGTCATACCTAAAATTATTTTATGTGTGAATTTATACACTAGTGTTTGAATAACTATACGGTTCAAAACATATATTGGGGGACACAACAAATCAGCGATTGTCACTTCTTCACAATGCTAGTCGGTGTCACTGAACAACGCTTTCATAAATTGTCGTACCCATACACACCACTTCTCTACACGGATTGGACTCCATTTACGAATGTTGAATTCAGTCAGTCTGTTGAGAAACCAGCGCCATCCTCAAAGTCTTTGTGATGATTGCATCTATTTGTGATTGTCGTGATTGTCCACTAATAAAATGGACGAGAGAGTGAATACGAAAGAAGACAGAGAGTTTTATTCTCGACTGCAGGAGGTGACGTCTGAGTTTGAGAAGGACACGCCAATCCAGTCAGTAGTGATTACAACCATATGTGACAGTATGCTGACTGAGCAGTGCAACACTGGTTTCCGCTCACACTATGTGGTTGGTGAATTCCGATTCTTAACTCCACAATATTGACTTCAACAAATAACCTGAATTACAAGCTATTGAGAGATCAGGTGTTCCTTTATGGGCAGAGTGAGTTACACTATCCCGAACTGATTAGGAAGACACAGTGTGAGTTTACACAACACGTCCCCAATGTTATTTCACTCCTCATCTGTGTCCTCATATTAAACGTATTTAAAATTAATCAATGTACATGCAAATGTTATATAACGCATGAAGTTAACACTGGTTGTTTTCGTCTTATTCGCTGTACTTTTGTAATTGCATAGTGGTACTTTTGTACTTTTATTTTCACCAACGTGTTATCCTTTGTTATTCACATTAACTTCGTTTTTTGGAAATCTTCCTCCACCTGTTCAGCAATTTTTTGGGTTTCAATACAACCTCATGCCTTCGTAATGCTAATTTTTTTAATTATTATATGAACATTTGCTTTGTTTTCATTTATTTGTTTTTTTATATCTATTTTAACTCACAGAAGGTTATAGCTGAATTTGAAAGAGGTATTATAAAAGTCGAGTTTCAATAATTTACTTTGGAAATTATTCAACAAGTCATGTTGTGTTTCACATTAGGCATATGATCTATGCTAATCATTCCTTTCAATGTGTCGCACATAATTCATTGAATGTACTTCTACTCAATGCTAGTCGGTGTCACTGAACAACGCTTTCATAAATTGTCGTACCCATACACACCACTTCTCTACACGGATTGGACTCCATTTACGAATGTTGAATTCAGTCAGTCTGTTGAGAAACCAGCGCCATCCTCAAAGTCTTTGTGATGATTGCATCTATTTGTGATTGTCGTGATTGTCCACTAATAAAATGGACGAGAGAGTGAATACGAAAGAAGACAGAGAGTTTTATTCTCGACTGCAGGAGGTGACGTCTGAGTTTGAGAAGGACACGCCAATCCAGTCAGTAGTGATTACAACCATATGTGACAGTATGCTGACTGAGCAGTGCAACACTGGTTTCCGCTCCCACTATGTGGTTGGTGAATTCCGATTCTTAACTCCACAATATTGACTTCAACAAATAACCTGAATTACAAGCTATTGAGAGATCAGGTGTTCCTTTATGGGCAGAGTGAGTTACACTATCCCGAACTGATTAGGAAGACACAGTGTGAGTTTACACAACACGTCCCCAATGTTATTTCACTCCTCATCTGTGTCCTCATATTAAACGTATTTAAAATTAATCAATGTACATGCACATGTTATATAACGCAATAAGTGAACACTGCCTGTTTTCGTTTTGTCAGCTGTATATTTGTAATTGCGTTGTGATACTTTTGTGCTCATATTCTGACCAACATTTTAACCCTGGTTGCCCACATTAATTTCGTTTATTAATAAATCTTCTGATGCACGTTTGCGCACGATATGTACTTGTATATATTTTCATTTCTTAGTTATGCTTTTTATCGTATAATATTTGTCAATTTATTTTCGCTGTTCATCATATGAAGTTTATTTAAAATCTTGTAACTTGCCTGGACTTAAGACTGTGGTATTCAGAATAAATTTAATAAATTTTAGGAATGCAATTTCAAATATACCGAAATTTTCCAGTTAATACAATTTGCTGTATTTTTCAATATTTAACTATACTCACTACCTCCGACATTACACAATGAATCAGAGAATGTCACTTCTTCACAATGCTAGTCGGTGTCACTGAACAACGCTTTCATAAATTGTCGTACCCATACACACCACTTCTCTACACGGATTGGACTCCATTTACGAATGTTGAATTCAGTCAGTCTGTTGAGAAACCAGCGCCATCCTCAAAGTCTTTGTGATGATTGCATCTATTTGTGATTGTCGTGATTGTCCACTAATAAAATGGACGAGAGAGTGAATACGAAAGAAGACAGAGAGTTTTATTCTCGACTGCAGGAGGTGACGTCTGAGTTTGAGAAGGACACGCCAATCCAGTCAGTAGTGATTACAACCATATGTGACAGTATGCTGACTGAGCAGTGCAACACTGGTTTCCGCTCACACTATGTGGTTGGTGAATTCCGATTCTTAACTCCACAATATTGACTTCAACAAATAACCTGAATTACAAGCTATTGAGAGATCAGGTGTTCCTTTATGGGCAGAGTGAGTTACACTATCCCGAACTGATTAGGAAGACACAGTGTGAGTTTACACAACACGTCCCCAATGTTATTTCACTCCTCATCTGTGTCCTCATATTAAACGTATTTAAAATTAATCAATGTACATGCACATGTTATATAACGCATGAAGTTAACACTGGTTGTTTTCGTCTTATTCGCTGTACATTTTTAATTGCATAGTGATTCCATTTTACTCATGATTTCCTGAATAGTTTATCCCTGGTTATCCTAAATAGCTTTTTGTATCAATAGTTTTCCCGATCCTTGTTTTGGCGGGATATCTCACTCAGTATAATTTCACTTTCAAATCGTGCTTTTTTTTCTTACAATTTTTAATACCATTTAGATGCTTGTTTTCAACTGAATGCCAATTTATTTTCTGACTTACTCTTTTCTTCTTTTTCGCTGCCAACTGTTTAATGGAAAGTCATTTATGTGAATTAAATTTTACTGAATTTTTCAAATGTTTAAATTTTTTTTCATGCTTATGCATATCTTCCGTATTTATTCTTTCACGACTATGACACAACCAATCAGCGAATGTCACTTCTTCACAATGCTAGTTGGTGTCATTGAACAACGCTTTCATAAATTGTCCTGGCTATACACACCAATTCTCTACACGGATTGAATTCCATTTACGAATGTTGAATTCTGTCACTCTGTTGAGTTAACAATATCAATCTAAAATGTTTTTCGTGATTATGGCGTCTTTGTGTTGTCAATTTTTTTCTGCTACCTGTATGCATCGTTTTTTTGAAAAAATGATAAGGGAAGCTTTGTTTTTATGTGTTTTGTTACTTCAAACATTATTTCATTTTGCTAATATCAGTTTTGTGTTTCGAAAATTTACATTTGATATTGGCGCATTTTCTGTTTTTTTGCTTTCTTTTTCGGAGTCTACACTTGACGCTATATATATATATATATATATTATATATATATATATATATAAAGTTTATTCATGTCGTTTATAAATGTTTTTCATGCTGTGCGGATATTTAATCTCCGGAGGTAAAACTATTTTCTTTTTTGAAAATCTCTGTTTTATTCATCCTAATAATATGTTGTATTTATGTGCATTACCTATTTTAAAAATGCTGAGGAAGTTCGTCCTACATATATTCGCAACAATGTTTCTATTTTATTCTTAGTCGAATACTTGTTTATATCATGATAACATTAAGTTAAGATTTTGAATATATTGAGGGCAGTTCGGTTATTCACATAATTAATTTTTCTGCTATATTTGACTATTTGCACAGCCTTATGTGAGGTTTGTGCACATTGCATGAATGCAGTGGGTTCACACTATTCGTTTAAATATGTAAATTTGCAGGTGCATGGGATTCAAGAGGAGTGGATGAATACAGGTGTGATATTCTCTACTATCTATTGTTCAGATGTGGAGAATGATATCTAATTTGATCCATGATGCATTTTACTAAATGTGGTTTTGGTTATTTAACCCATACACTATGGTACTCTTTATATTATTGTTGCATCGCTATGATTAAGCTGGACGCCTGTATTTGAGCATTTGATTTGCTTAAATGTTAAGACTATTAAAGTCCGTAGTGACCATAAATATACATTTTGTCATTAACAGACCAGTTATATTTCTAAGGCCAAACATTTTCACCTATGAATAATGAATGAAAGTCACTACAAATGTGCATTAAAAGGCCTTGCATTTGCATTGAAATGTGCAGAGTTGTCCTCTTTCATTTCATACTAAACCGAATGTTAGTAGGACTTAAATCCCACTGACATGAACAGTGTTATTTCTGCACTAAAGAATAACTCCTTAACCTAATTAAAGTGTTAGATTGATGTCCAAGCAGTGATATCAGACGGTTTTAGTTGCATTTCCCCCTTCTTTTCACAATTTTAATGACTGTGACTGTAGAATATCACAGTATTTAATGTACAAATCATTGTCTAACGTGAAAATTTTTAATCAGTCTCTTGTCAATGCATATATATATATATATATATATATATATATATATATATATATATTCAAAAGGTTTCGATAATTCAGTGGAATAAGTTTGTCTTGAATTGTTTCCATCTGAGTATTCCTAATGTCTACAATGACTACTGTTGTCATAATCAACCAATTTCATAGAATAAATCAGAAACACATATGTGTAAACTCAAATCACACACCTCAGTATAACTTGTGTAAATCAGTTTAACTTTGACATAATTGTAGTTTTAGTAAAGTGATAAATAAGTTTAAAATGTAATACTCCAATGACAGAAAACTCCTTTGAATATGTCAAAATTTACTTGAAACAACAATAATAATCACATCAAACTGTACTTACATGCTTCGCTTGGCTTGATGAATATTGTGAACGATTGAATGATCAACAACAGAACACAGAACTTCATCATCATCATCGTCATCATCTTCTTCTTTTAAGCGAAAGTGTGAGCAAATAAAAACAAGTCTTTATATAGCTTTTTCACTAACTTAATTTACACTTGCCACGTAAAAGACCATAAAGATTTCTAAAAATAACTCAAAGCATCACCTCATTTCTTTTTAAAAGAATGTGGCGTGGTAATAATTACAAATATAATCATATATCTGTTAATGGTGTACTTTGTTTACAAGGTCACCGGAATCAGAGAACACTATCGTAAAGAAGAATAGATGAGATTTTTTTTAAGATTACAGCTTGATTCCACACCGTATTTTTGGTACAAGTACGGAATTTTCAGCGTGGATATCGGTAGCCCAAAATTCTCAGGCCAACCATATATATCAGGTGTGCGTCGGCGTGGGCTTGAACCTCGGACCATGTGCATGGTCGGCGAGAGTCCTAACCACCGTACCACCGACGCACCAAGATGATTCCAATCACTGTACATACGGAATTTTACATTACTTTAGAACGGTATACAGACTATTTTCGATGATTTGCACATAACAAAATATCACTCTCAACACAGAAACGCTGAAGCGTAATGCATTCGTTAAGGAATAGTTTAGCAGCATATCAACTTCTCAAATGATCTAGTGGATGGGTAAAATAATAAGATCCGAAGTTTGCAACACTCACGGTTTTATTTAGACAAGATTCTCTTCTCTTACACAGATATCAAATCTCTTTGTGAATTCCTGAATATCATATTATTGTGCATATGCATGGGAAAGTACATCTTATTAATCACTGTGTAGGGTACTCTCTAGCGAGCTCAATAACATAGCAAATCTGTGAATAAGTTAATGAGATGATAGTGTAACAGTATATTATAAAATATATTGTAATGAATTATATTAATTAAACGGTTACTTGGATAAACAGTTAAAATCCACGGCTACAAATTGTTATTATAATCCACAGAAGCGTTCACTGCTGGAGTCGTGTCCACTGATAGAAGCTGTGTACCGGTTGTAGAATAGCCTTCAGATGAGGATTAGAGGTTTCTGCAAAAATCCAAAGAATAAAGCACAGTTATGAGTGAAGTGCGTAGACAGTATAGACCAGTGAGATGAGGAAACGACCAGCAGTACAGTGTATTTCAGATCGTACTCGGAAGTTACCTATATTCTAGCATGAATCGTTTTAAACAAAAGTCATGTACAATGTCTCTTTTTCTAACATCTAACAAAAAGTGTACAATCATATTGTTATGTACTCCACAACTAGAAACAAGCAAAATTACAACTGAATGACTTCACTCATTTCCATTCACAATGGAAACAATTCACAAATCTCGTTTAATTGAGAGTTAATTCAGATAAATCACCTCTTAAAAATACGTTTCTAGTTTAAACGGTTGCTCCAATTCAGCATTTCAAAATATATATCCTAAAAATTCTCGCAAAAAACTTGCATTGACAAATTTGATGCAGCTTGTAGTATATCAGACAGTGATGTGGTGAATGCATATGAGTGTAGTCGAATTTCAAAATCAGATCCTCGTTAACACTAAACATGAGTAGATCAGGAAACGCTAACCAGGTTTCGCCAACCTACAGATATGAATATCAAAACGTGGTTGGTTGTATAAAGATGAGATGAAACCGGCGAAGTTAAACTTTCGACACCACTAACTACCAATCAGCGAATTATCGAATGAGATTCACGAACGATGTCGAATTATCCAATGAGGTTCACGAACGCAGTTCAATGTTGTATAGCGCTTGATTCATTTCTAATGCGTGACCTTACAAAGCTATCGTTGCGATTCGAGGAGGTTAGCGTTTTCCAGTATTTCCTGGATTTGAGTTGCGCCGGAAAGAGCGAATTTGTCTGTGTGGTGGTATCATGACTTTGAAAAGCTATACCAAATCAACTGATGGGTTTGTTCATCGTTGTGCTATATGTTTGAAGCCTACTAACTCTAAAAAGAGTAAGCTGATAATTTTAATATTTCGTAGGAACTTTTTTCGCTAGGTCGCTTCTCTCCCTAAGGATAGCAGATAGAAAAGCAACTACTCTTATACCTATTATTACCAGAATTGTTAAGCGGGGGTCAATTATACACACCAACGAGTGGGAAGGCTACAATTCACTGTCATCTCTGGGATATATTCATCATAGAGTCAACCATTCAAGTGATTTTGTGGATCCCGTTACGAGGACACATACAAATTCTATTGAAGGATTTTGGGGCAGGTTGAAAAATAGGATAAGGGCTATAAATGGATCTAGTTTATGGTCATTTGGATGAATATATGTACAGGATATGGTGTAACTTCTCCATTGACGGTCCAATGCTAAACTGGGAGATGTTTCTCTCACATGTTCGAGAAAGATATCCCATGTAACTTTTTTATTCTCTATTTTTTGCTTTTTTCTACAAATATACATTTCCATTCATCATATATGCCTCTTTAATGTGACTGGTCCGTTCAAGGTCGTTTGCTGATTGGTTATTAGTGGTGTCGAAAGTTTAACTTTGCCATGAAACCTGAGGCTGATACGATTTTGAATCATCGGCAAACACTCAAAATAATATAACACTTCTTTCAATGTGGGACACATTCTCTAATGAATTTATTCTATTATAGTCAACTCTTCAAATATTTTGAAGACAATTACAGTTTGTTTCATTTGGCGAAAATACTGTGAGTGTTTGCGACTCACCTATATAATAGAATCTTTATAAAACATATTTCGGTAATTCCAGACACTCTGAAACATTGAAATCTAAAGGTTTTCGTTTTACAGAATTACCTAAATTTACAGAATTAGAACTCGTACGCACAAATTGCACACACGTTATTGAATTGACGAGTTTTACTAATTAACACTATGTGGTGTACATCTATCAGACAAATTTTGAAATTCAATGTGATAAACAAGTGCTTCGTCGCTGCTTTCATGTGTGCACATACCTATATATGAGAATGATGTACAAAATCTTGCGTGGACTCAAGTGTATTTTCATAAATTATTATACTAGAACAACTTATATCAGAACAACTCTGATGAGATATTTTTATTTTCCAAAGAGACATAAATATAAAAAGCTGTGATAAAAGGACTTATTTTTCTCGATCAAAACGTAACTATAATATCTCCAAAATACTCTGTGTACTTCAGACTTAGGATTAAATGGAATAGCTGAAGTTTATATAACTCTGATTTCAACAACCAAAGAAATCTGATTTCATCATTCATATGAAAAGAGGTAAAGCATTAATATAATTTACATTTCCAAATACGAGGCAAGAACCTCATCACCAGATAAAGTAGTATATGCATTTGAATGTAGTTGAATTTCACACTGAGATCTTCAATGATAGGAAAACATTTAAATTAAACATGAGTAGTTCAGGAAAACATGTAAACTACTCACTACGCTAACCAGTTATCATTCTCTAAAATCAATTGTAAACAAGGTTCAGCTATATTAGATGAGCTGCATATACATGTTGAGTGTATGAATGTTCTAAATGCGCACAACAACATGCAAAATATGTCATGGTTCTGTAGTTCAACTGTCGAATAATGGTCTCGCTAATGCCTGGTAATGAATCCCTCATGTCTGGTGAACTAAGGCGACTTGATGATGATAGGCAGATATGTAGTGCTAATTCAAAATGTCTGACCAAGCTCAAACACATTCGAATAACAATGATTTTTGAAACAAAAGGGAATAAACGAAATTATTTAAGACTTCAGACTCAGATTAATTAAAAGGCATAAACTCTTCTCTCAGACATAACAAAAAAACAAATGGCAATCCCTAAGATGCCTCCAATTACTACGACAATAATATACCGATTATATCAACTGCATATTCAGTGCATAAAGAGAAGGTTTCCATGGAAAAAAGATATCCCTACGAAGATATTCACGACAAAAAAATGAAAGACTCAAGTATTACTTAGATTTGAATTCTCGTCTAAATATTCGAATAACATGATGAGTAAAAGCTGGTATATTTAATTATTACGACAAAGCGGATTTTCGTCCTAAAGAACGAAGAGACGTTATCGTCTCAATGCGTACAAAATATTTGTGGGTTACAAATAATGGGGCTCTGTGGTAGGCTAAAGAAAGATATGTTTCGAAGTTTCCTCCTAGACTTCAAGCTGCAATCATCAATCTACGCATGCCTAATGAATGAAAGTGAGAAAGTGAAAGTCGAGCTTGATGAATGTCCAGCACTATGTAAGAAGAAGTCACTAGTTTCGATTCGATTCACCCAGATATATAACTGTCATTCACACATATACAAATAAATGTTAAAATGAGTCAGTCAACGAATGCCCTTGTCTGGTTATGATAGTCATCAACAACCCTTTGAAGAAACACGTTCATTTGTTGAATAACACCTAGGTCTGTGAATGTCAAGGTCAGTGTGTTTGACATTGTGTTTGACGAAGCTGTGCAATCGGACCCATAAGCAAAGCGGTAGGATGAATATTTGGGAATTGTGCTATTATGATAAATCAATTCACTAAACAATGATTTCACTTCGCTTGGTAATCCATGCTTATAATTGAAAAGGGAGGTTTGATCAAGTTATCTCTCAGACGTTTGAAACTGTGCCATTCTGCGTTGGACTGTGTGCATGAAGTCGTCTTTGTCGTATCTACAGGGAATTCAATTTCTCGAACATATTCCCAATAGCCAGAAACACAATGAATCACAGTTCCTCGTCATCGTGATCAGTCGACATTTGATACAACTGACTGTAAGGCAGACAGTCTGTTTGTTCAACTCATAAAATCCTCAAGCTTAGATTACTCGATTTAGAATTTTGTTGACATGATTGCTACCATAACCTCAGTCATATTCAGATAGCTGCTTATATAGTTTGATGACATTTACGTTTACCGCAGTCGTTTGAATGTATATGGATTCCTTGTCTTTCCTTCATATTTTGTTCTTGTCGTCCCTGGAGTCCGTAGCCTTTAACTCACTGGTACCAATAGTGTCATTATCGTGTAACGTATATTATATTGTGTGGTCTGTATGTTTATTTGCATTTGTGACTGCTCTGTCACTATCCTATTTTTATATTTGCAAAAAGTCAAACGAATCTGAATTTGCTTTTAAAATCTCGGATTG